CTCAGGGGTTGGACGAGGAAAATAAAAACTAGCAGCAAAGGCTTTGGAAACCATTACAACAAAGGATTCAATCTTTCCATCTTTCTTGAGCATCGTCTCCTATTGTTGGGCATCTTTACGAATAAAAGCAAACGACTCCTTCAATTTGGGCAATGGACTCAATATCAACAAATCTCCTCTAATTTTAGCAAACTCATCATCTAGACATGCAATAAAATCATAAATATGGTCTTTCTGGATCTCAGTCAGATGCGTCATAATACATCTAGGCTGCACTTTCCCAAACATCTTTAGCTGTTGGTAGATCTAAGAACAATTCTACCAAATCAGGGTCCATAGTTTTTATCTACTATCTTTTAACAATGGAGTCCTTAATACACCAAAAATCAAAGTCCGGAACGTCTTCTTCCACTTGAGTCAACTTCCTTGTCAAATAACCTTTTTTTTCCTGGCTTAATGACACATGAAGCAACATCATCTTCGACCAAATTTTATAGTTCTTTCCATTCAACCGTATGGTGAATGAGGGCAGCGGAAGTATCATTGCAAACTTTAACAATTGGTTGCACCATGTCAAGGTTTTTGTGGGTTTCTGAAGCACGGGATTTTGCGGCTGCAGTGGTGGTGTCTGGGGTATCTTCAAAAGTCATGAAAAAAAAAGAACCAGTTTGGATGAGTTGGTGTTGTAGGAGTCTTTTGTCACACTAGGTTTGTGACGACAAGAGCTTAGCTGATGTTTTGTGAAGTTGGGTTTTTTTTTTCTTTGTATTCGGCGCTATACCACCTCCTTGGACAAATTTTAGGGAGAAAGTGAAAAAATACAACTCCAACCATACCCCCTATCCATCTCCTAAAATAAAGAGATCTATAGGAGCTCATAAATCTAAGAGCATCTACAATGGGCTCCCTAAACCACCTCTTTAGTTAAAATTTAGGGAGGAATTGAAAAAACCCAACTCCAATCATGCTCCATATCCAGATCCTAAAATAGGGAGACATCTAGGAGCTCATAAATCTAAGAGCATCCACAATGGGCTCCCTAAACCACCTACTTAGTTAAATTTTAGGGAGGAATTGAAAAAACCCACATCCAATCATGCTCCATATCCAGCTCTTAAAATAGGAAGACCTCTAGGAGCTCCTAAATATGAGGAGATAGAAAGGGCTCCTAATGACTCCCAATAATTAAATGCCACTATATTTTATTAGGACAAACTACAGTAAACCCCCTACCCTATAGGGTCATTTACGAGTTCATACCCGATTTTGGGGACATTTACTAGTACATACTCAACTCTGCGGAAACCTTACAATTTGCCCATTCCATTAGCCAAACTGTTAGTAAATCTGTTAAGTACTGACATGTCAAAAGTGGGGCCCATTTTTGATGACATGGACTTCCACGTGGACAAAAAACTAATAAAAAATTATGTACATGTTAAAAATAATTTTTAAATCATATTAAAATCATTAAAAAATGAATAAATAAATAAATTCTCATCTCTCTTCTCCAACCTAGCCAACCCTCTCTCCCTCCTCATCATTACCCCAAATCTCCCTCCCCCACCCTGCTCCTTCCAGTCCAAACCAACCTATGTACCACATAGATCGGACACAAATCCGGCAAGTCCAAAACTCCAGATCCGTCGAAGAAGAGAATGCAACCATGAAATCACTTTTTTTTTTAGTCTGAACCATGAATCCCACCATATCCTGGCCGTCTTCACCCTCTCTGATTTAATCGCCACCAAATGGAGGAGAAGTTGTTGGAGATATTCAATGATCAGTGAGCAATTGGTGATATAATCAAGGCTAGAGTCATCAATTTGCCCTCCTTCAGAATCAATACTAGAAGGCGAGCCAGAAACTGATATTGTAAGAGGAGAAGAAGTAGTTCACATCTTTGATGGGAGAATAGGCACTGCAACTTCAAAGTTAAGCATTTGTATCACTTGCTGTATTGAAGGTCTGGAATTGTAAATTGGATGAGCACACCACAACACAACAATCAACAAACACTCCATTTGTTTCTCATCAAAATCTCCACGCAATTTTGGATCAGCTGCTTCGATAACTTTTCCTTTTACATAAAGCTCCCAAACCTACTCTACCATATTGACTTGACTACCTTCAAATTTTGGATTGATGGGCTTTCTTCCGTAGGAAATCTCCAAAGCAACAATTCCGAAGCTAAAGACGTCTGATTTCTTGCTTAATTGTCCAGTGTCAATATATGAAGAAGCCATGTAGCTTGTGGTTATCATTTGTGGCTCTTTTCTGTTGTCGAACTCGAAATCCTCAAGTTTTGCGTGGAAATCAGAATCTACCATAACATTGCTCGATTTGATATTTGTGTGCAACAGAGGTTGCTGCAAAATTTCATGTAGATAAAGCAACCTTGAAGCCAAGCCTTGAACCACGAATCCCACCGCATCCTGACCGTCATCACCGAATCCAGATCCGGAATGCCGTCGAGTCAACAATCTGGCGATCAAGGGGCTGAAGAGAGACAACCTCGATCTTGGTCGTCAACGTCAACAACCTGGACCGGCTCGCGAAGGCCTGTAACGATGGGGAGGGAGAGAGGGTTGGTTGGGTTGGAGAAGAGAGATGAGAATTTATTTATTTATTTCTTCATTTATTCATTTTTTAATGATATTAATAATATTTAAAAATTATTTTTAACATGTACATAATTTTTTATTAGTTTTTTGTCCACGTGGAAGTCCACATCATTAAAAAAAGGGTCCCACTTTTGACATATCAGCATTTAATAAATTCACTACCAGTTTAGCTAACGGAGGGGGCAAATTGTAGAGTTTCCGTGACGTTAAGTATGTACTGGTAAATGTCCCTAAAATTGAATATGAACTCATAAATGACCCTATAGGTTGGGGGTTTACTATAGTTTGTCAATTTTATTATTATTTAAAACAATTATTTAATGATTTCTTTAATTCTATCTTCTTCTTTTTTGTGCATTTTATATTTTTAATCACCTTTCTATTGCACACTACCTACGTCATGCACCATCTTTCCTCTTCTTTTTGCTATAGGTGCTTTGCAAAGCACAAGCAAATTATTATTTTTTTTCTTCTATTCTTTTCGCTATATACATTTAGCAACACACAAACACCCTTTCTTTTAGTTCTTTTCCTTGTAGGTATTTTGCAAAACACAAACACTTTTAAAACACAAAAACCGTTGAATTGTTTTTGTAGTTTATTATTTGGGAATATTCGGCATTTGAATATGAACATTTTATTGCAAATCAGGAATTAAATTTAAAAAGAAGTAAAGTATTTATGACAAAAAAGAAGTAAAACATTTATGACTCTTCAAATTATGGAGTATCGTTGGAGTTGAAATTTTTTAGAGAGCTCCTAAAATAGTTTTTTTTGTTTGTGTTTTTAGCTAAATTTTAGCTAAGAAATAAGGAGCATGATTGTGGATACTTTAAGGAGAGAGAAATGACTCATAATGACTCCCTATAATTTAATACTGTTTTGTTTTAGGCATAGTTTAAACTTTTAATTAATGTTAACTTTTTTTCTTTTTTTTTATAGAGATGAATCAATCATATTGAATTAAAAAATAACTATAGTATTTACGACTCTCTAAACTAGAGAATATGATTGGAGTTTAAATTTTATAAGGAGCTCCTAAAATAACATTGTTTTTAACCAAATTTTAATTAGAAAATAGATAGCATAATTGTAAATGCTCTAATATATCTTAAATTTGTATCCATGTTTGATTGAGCGGTCTAATTAAAAATTAATATATATTTCATCGCAACCTTTCAGAATCAATGTACAATTATGATTTGGACTTTTGGACTTTGAAACGAACACGTGAAACATAACATGGTTTTATATATCATTATCATATATTAAAAAATCTTCTATATATAGTGAATTAATTTACAATTATGATTGACAAAAGAAAATGAATTAGGATGGAAATAAAAAACATATATCATATTTATTAATATGTAATCCCAGCACTTCACACTTACGTCCGTCCATCATCCATCCATCCATCCATCCATCCATCCATCAGATGATATTTTTTTGATAAAGACGCAGCACTTAACACTGTTGGCTTATGCTAGCTGTATGAAAACATATATATATATATATATATATCATGTATCCCATCCCCTTCATTACCATGTCATCATATATAGGAGATCCAGAAACAAGTCCCATGATCCCATCCTATAAATATTCTGGGCCACTGCAATTTTTTCAATTTCACAGGGGAGGGGACTATATCTATATCATATAAATTTGATTGATAGTACACACTAATGCATTTCCATCATTCATGCATGATTTAAGCAAGCGAGTAGATTTCTCGTGCATATTGAATATAAGTTGAATGACCAAAATGCGAATCGAGCACAAATTCAGGAACTATTCTTTCTAAAAACCTTTATGCATCCAAGTAGTAGTAGTTGTCACTTGTCGGTGATACCCTAGTTAATCATATTGTAGATTCATTGTTCAGTCAATTAAGTAGTGACATCACATTGTGATGATTAATCTCAACTAATTAAATAATAACTTATTAACTATTGGCCACATTTTGCATGCATATGTATAGTAATTCTAGAACCTTGTCTTTTTCAGTTTGTATTCAAAGGGCTACGCCAGTAGGTAATTATATGTTACCTAATTTCAGGATCGGTTCAAAAAGAAAAGTATAAATTATGCCTGCAAAAAGCAATATTAAAACTGGGTCATGCGAAGAATGTGCAACATTTGTTAATACAAGTTATTTACTTGACGTTCATGTTCATTCGAGCAAGTAACCTAATATATATATATTGGACTGGCTGTCACTCCATCACTAGCCTAGCTATCTATATTTGAAGCACGCATTGCATTTGCATCATATGCCTAAAAGTTATTAGTCCAATCAAATGATGGGTTTGCTTTGCTTGCTAGGTACGCGTCTACTTGACACTTTTGCCATCAAAGATTTACGTTGATCGATTTCCCAAACGTTGTTCACTGCAGTATATATTAATTTATTACAAATCATCAACTATTCAAACAAATCTTTTTCTAGTGGGCGACAGCATTTGCTTCTCAATTATTGTGTTCGAAACACATTCTCTGCTTGTATATTACAAATTTAAATTAAAAAATTCTTTAAAAGTTGACCGGTTCTCTCCCTCGTTCGTTATGCAGTTACTAGGCCGCGGGAATGGAAGCCATGAGAATGATACAAGGGGTTTGTTGCTTCTCTAACTGGACGTATGAGACTCACCAAGAAACTCTGATCTCAACTGCATCAAAAGCCTGCCCAGATAATTTAGGCCTTCTCCATCCCGGCCTCCACCCCAGAAGAGATCATGCGGTGAAGCTTCAACAAGAACAGATCCAGCAGTTGACAGCAACATAGAATTCAGATGTGGGTATATCGAGAACTTGCATTTTAGTGCCCTGTACATCACTTCAATCTTCACACTTTCCCAATCCGATCTTACCTGCATACATACCATACCACACACTCAACAAGAAGTTTCAACCAACTTGCACCATAAACTCAAAGATATTCTAATGAGCCTTAGCTCAAGTCGCGTGGCATGAATGGGATGAGGTAGAGATCTTAGGTTCAAATAATAGATGTTAATAACTTGATATCATAATATTATCTCTTTACTTTTAAGTTTCTTTAATTGAGAAATTATAAGAACCATGATTGAATGATTCACCACAGCATAGCATGCCATGACTGCATCACGTATCATGATAGTTGATACCAACTTCAAATCCAAAAAAAATGTGCATAGGACTACCAAATCAGGCTGCTGCCTCTGCATTGATCTTCCTATTCGTGCTGCCTCTTCCGGACTTTTCGCAGACTTAATATTTTCAACACCATCTTGTGCCACAGGATCATCCACCCCAACAAACTTCTGAGCCTACATGTTAGTATTGTTTTGTGAGAATGACCACAGTTTTGTGATATGGAAACCAGATCCATATAGAAAAGGGAAGTACCTGGTAGTAATGCTCTACACTCAACCAAGTGGCATAATCACCACTGGCATCAGGCATCTTAATTGCGTGCGGAGAAAAATTTGAGAATGCACCGTAAGGGTCCCATGTTTTGTAGAAGAATATAATCCTTGATTCATATGGAGTGACAGTTGGATCAATTTCATAAGTTTCATCAACCGATGGAATAACAGGCGTCGCATCTGGTATGGGTTGAAGAAATCCACTTATAAGCATGTCAGGTCCAACCTGTGGTTCAAGTTTCCAAAGCATAAAATGAAAAATCCAATCAAGAGACAGAACATAGATATAAGCACCAGAGAATACATGGTTAGCACACAAGATTAACTAGAAAAAATTTGTCTCCAGAAGAAAACTCCAAAATTCCCCACCAACCTGCTCATAGCAAACATCAATTAAATCCAAGGCTTGTGACATTTCAACCATCCCAAGTTCACCTACAGGGGTTGGCGCATTCTTTCCACCAATAATCTTAGGAGCAACAAATGCGAACACCTGCAACACATTGAATTTGGCAGAGGCAAAATCCCCGTTAACAAATCCAATTCCAACAGAAAAAAGAAATCTGAGATGACTTTAAAAAGGAAAATGGTAAAGCTTATGGCCAAAAAGAAGGATGGAGAATCCACCATTCACCTTCTTCTTGGATCCAGCCTAGAAGATGCCAATTATACCAACATTCCAAAGTCATCAGTTTTAAACAGACAAGAGTAGAAGATAGACAAAAATTCATAGAGAGAAAGGGAGGATGGGGGAAAAACCTTATGTATTACTCCAGATGAAATAGCAGCTGCAGCTAATGTCCCTCCACACTCCCACAAAACTGAAAGATATCCACGATCATGAAAGTATTCCATTACTTCTCTGGGGTTTAGGATGTCAAACTCCACCACCTCAATTCCTTTAGATGCAAGAAATTTCTGGAAACGCTTTCTTGCACCCCTTTGTGTCACAACTATAGTCGATACATCAGAGAAATCCCAAAGGTTTGCTTCCTCAGGGAGATCAAGAGTCTGTGACATTACAATCCGCATGGGCATATGCCCACCTCCATGTCTTGCAGTTAGTCTTGGATCTAGTTCAAAAAGAAAGATAGAACATAATCAAGCATCTTCAGCATCTCCAACTCCAACTAGTATAAACACACATCACAAAGTTCGGAAAATGATAAAACTTACTGTCCCTGCGAACGGTATTTCCTCCTACAATGACCGCATCACTTCTACCCCGCAATTCGAAAACTCGATTTCGAGATGTCCTGCTACTGATCCATGAGGCATGTCCGCTGCTAGCAGCAATTTTTCCTGTTAGCACCCAAGGAAGACTAATGACTAGTCAATCAGCAAACTTGTTTACTTTCAAATGTTTGAGGCCTCTTTACGTATTCACATAATGTTATGTTTTACACTGTCCTTTAAGAAGAAAGAAAATAGTTGAAGTTTATGAGGAAACCGAGAAAGCTCACCATCAAGGGTCATAGCATACTTGAGAACAGAGAAGGGGACTCGAGAAGCAGCTCTACAAATTAAAGGAGCATTGACAAGGAGGCATGATTTCCGAGCTTCCTGTTGGTGTTGGATTCATAATAACATGTTAAATTCAATGTTGCTTGTTGCATGCACACAACACAATAGTTATTTCAGTTTTGAGCAGAGCAGAAGATGCCTATATTACTTACCATTGCCAAGCGGTTCAAAAGAAAAAATAAGCTAAGGTGTGTAATCTAATGAGCATATGAAATTGATTAAAGGTGGTTAATTACTGGATTAATTTGTACCTCAATGAGTTTACCGTTGAGGTCCTCACCAAGAACATGAACCTGCAACCCTTCACTTCTCAAAGCCCTTATGGAATTCCCTCTCAGGTGCTGCAATGGATGCCTCAATCCAATCACCACCCTTTCAATCCCTGCCTAACTTTCCATCTCATCAATCCAACCAAAATTATAACAATTTTTTTTTCTCTTTTACGAGGGGGGAGGAACCGAAAATGAAATGAAAGAAGAAAAAGAGAAAAATGCAACCTGAACGAGGGCAGAGACGGCAGCGTGATCTCCGTGGCAATCACCGGGCTCCATGTTGAGGTAAGCGGTGCCGCGACGGGAGAAGTTGCCAGCTGCCTCAGCGGCAAGAACCTCGGCGGGCCTGGTACCCTGGGCGTAGAGGAAACCCTCGCCGGCGACTTTTCCGGATTGGGTGGCGATGACGCAGCCGAAGTTGGGGTGGGGAGATGTGAAACCGGCAGATTTGTCGGCCAGCTCGGCGGCGCGTCGGATGTGTACGGCATCGAGCGCGTGGGAGCAGAGAAAGTTATTGTTCTTGTTATTATTATTACTACGGGTGGTGGCGGCAGCGGGTGTGGGGCTGCAGGAAACTATCATAAGTGGTGAAGATGAGGCCATCAGAATTTGAGTGTATACGAGAAGAGCATAACAATTAAGTAATTAAATAAAAATGTAGGGTATATTATTGCTATAGATCATATCGCCATAGATGAGATGTGACTGACAGACGCTCATCTTCAACTTCAACCTCTCGAGTCTTCGTCGGAAGGAGAGGAGAGGAGAGGAGAGGATGACTGACAGCGCTAACTTTCCCATGGATCTATTTATTTTCCCTTGTATTTTTTTCAAAAGAATTGGGCCTTTTGGATGGTCCTTTTGTTAAAAAGGAATTAGATTTGGGCTTTTTGGTTTTTGCCGCAATTTGCAAACCATGTCATCACATCATCTGATTCTCAACCTAAAAACATCTACCACCGAAGAGTCGAAAGTGTTTATGATCCATTTGAGCATTTTATTTGAGTTTTAATTACCAAATCCCTCCCAGCATGCTACAACATGCTTCATCCAGAAATTTGGTCGAACCCATTTCCTTCTATTTCTTTCCATTCCAATTATATGGAAAGGGAAATCAAGGAAATATCACTAAGCCATTGAGCATGTAAAACACATACTGCAACTAACCAACGGGGAAGAACGCCACCAAAGTTGGAAGTGAAGTAAAGCAAAGCATCAAATTATTCATAATGTAAATATTATCCTCATAACATCATTCATCATCATCAACAGCATTCAATCAACAAAGACACAAGTAGGTAGGTAGGTAGGTTATAGAATATTTTTATGAGTCAATAATCTCGGAGAACGGATGAGATTGATAGTAAAGAAAAGGCTCCCAACAGGCATTGCAGTGATCAGTAACATCATCAGCTGGCTGCTGGTGCATCTATTCCTCCTCTTCTGCCTCCTCCAGCCAGTTCACAAATGGCTCCAGAGCCTTCACAAAAGTTTGCCTGCAAAACATTTTCCCACATTTTTATACATTACAATTATGAATTTACAACGCACCCAATATTAACTAATACTCAGGCAACTGAACTGAACTGGGAAACCATGCATACATACCTCCCCTTGGGGTTTGTTCCTCGGCGGAACCAATGGAGAATGGTGTCTTCTGCAAGCACATCCTGGTCATAGAGGGACCTCACAATTTCAGGAAACAGCTTCATCAGCTTAGCATCCTCATAGCACTGCATTTGGACTTTGTAAATCAGTTCCAGCTCCAGCTTCCCATTGGTGCAGAAGGTATTCAACAGTTCTGCCCATGTTTTCACCTGTGCATTTTAGCAAGCCAATGTTGACACAAATTTCAAGCCTTCATTTCTATTGAAACACAACAATAGCGCTAACCAGACCACTTAAAACTCATATCTTCCTCCTTTTTGTCAGGGCTTAACCTCAGCATTTACAGAGCACAATAATTACATGGGTATATCAATTACTTTATAAATCTAAGACTCAGGCATACCTGGCGAAGAGCTGCATTGGCGTTCTGCTGCTGGTTCTTACCAGACCACTGCACTGCATCCATAATGACATCCCACAGAATCCGCACAACCTCAACGTCTGGCAATTTAGCATCTTTAACACGCTGCTTCACAGTTTCTATGACTTCAGACATATCAGTTTCTTCTGTTATCTGGGTTGTTAATGCCGATTTCATTTCCTTAAGCTTCACCTCGAAAATCTTCTTTTCATTGTATTCAACTAAGGCTACTAGCCCTTCCTTACTGAAAATTGGCATGAACATATGTCGAATTGGGTGTCAATAAAACAATTTTAACACAATGAATGTTAAAGTTATCACATGCTTTACTTGAAACCAATTAATAAGCAATTGATAATTAGAAATCCAATGAGCATTTATTGATCGGTTAGGCTATCATCGAATTTTATGGCAACTAAAACTTAGAAGTTTCCTGAGTAAATCAACTAAAACTATAATGCATTCATAGTCTTTGAGTAAATCAACTAAAACTATAACGCAAATAGAAACTGAAATGACATGATCAAATGAGCATTCATAGTCTGTGAGTGTTCATTCCTGGCTATCATCAAATAAGCATTCATAGTCTCTGAGTAAATCAACTAAAACTATAACACAATGATGCGCCAAAAGAAATAAAGAATTTTATGGCAACTAAAACTTAGAAGTTTCCTAGAAACTACTCAGGAATTACAGCTACCTCAGATTCATGAAAATAGCATCTAAAGACTATCAAATGCTTCAGCAACAAGTTTATAAAAATGAAAATGACTATCTCAAAAGATGGTCCATAATAGCATTTGCTAATCAGTAACAGCTAAAACTTACGTGAAATGCTCAGAGAAACTCTCATCAGACCGCTTTGTGGATGGGAAGAACTCCAGAAGATTGTCCTCCACTTTACCCCGCTTCAGAATGGAGATCAGATCATCAAGGCTGTTATCAATGAGATACTCCTTGAAGAAGTCAGTAATAAATGATAGAACTAGCCCTTTGCCAACAAGATTATCCTTGAGCATAGGCTGGAACACAGTTTCAGGTGGAAGTCCCGATAGCTTCTGAGAGAATGCAAGCGCTGTGAAAATTGCCAACTTCTTCCTTTCATTTTCCTCAAAAAGCTCCAACGACTGAAGGAATCGTCGCATAACATTCTCGAGATTCTTTATCAGAAATGGCCTCCGCCTCAAAATTTTTTGTATGTAGATAACAGATGGTAAGATGACTTCACGTGTAGCCTCACTCTCTAGTACAGAGTAAGGGTGGCGCTCCCCCTCATCAGGTTTTGTTGTTCCAGGTTGTGTACGGCCTCCAGTGAAAACAACCTGCAGTTGTGCAACAAATTATGATCTTTGACCCATTTTAACCCATTATGTGCTCAATACAGGGAAAAGTTGGAAAAATATTGGAATCATAGAAAACCAAAAAACTAAATATGCCCATTGCAAGGAGGAGAAAGAAACTATCAAGACATGTAAAGCCACAAACAGAAAAACAGAATAAGAAGGATAGATATCAAGCAATGGATATTTGGCCTTATCAATCAAGACTATGGTCTTAAGCTCTGAATATATTAAAAAATTAAGCTTTAAAGTTCATTGAATGTTGTTTTCATACTCTCAGAGTCTTGCATTATTGCTAGTTCAAGATTATAGAACTCTGAAGTTCATCATACTGTTCCTTCCATTAGAACTTATTTTTCAATAGACAGTTTTTTTTCTTTTAAACGTTCAAAATAAAGCTCAAATTCAAAACTGCACAGACGAGAAGAATCAAAACCATACCACATTATAAACAGCACATCTATTATATTTCCAAAATGAGAAATTGATGTACTGGTAATAAAAAGGAAATTGATGCCCTCGCTGCAAAAATTTGAAGAGCCAAGGTTGCATCCTAGGCAAAAGTAAAAGAGAGACCTATTTTGCTCTTTGAAAAATCATGACCAAGTCTCTACAGTATTATGAAGCTTACCTCAAAAAAGGTGTCACCGTATCTTGAGAAGTTAAGGTCTGAAGATTCAATGCACTTGGCAATAAGTTCCTGCACAAATACTTGTTTAGTTTTAACAGATGATCAAGTGATAAGGTGCATAAATGCACACACTACGATTTAGAAGATCATCAATTTTTAGCCAACAATTACCAGATCACCAGCATTATCCAGATAAATCTGGACCACTGCATCCGCGAAAGCTGCAGGGTCCAGCGGCGCTGCAATATTCCGTTTGCGGGTCTTAATCCGCGTGCCACTGAACATATAGGGGGAAAAAGTCCATATACAGGTGATAAACATTTCATATGAATGATGTAAAAGATTATGCAAAGATGCACTGATAGATCCAAATCTCTATGCCATAAATCTTCAATTCCCATAACATATTTCCCTTGTTAGAATTGATGAATTAATCAGAACCTCAAATAACTACATTTCAAGCATTATCAATTTCATTTTCTTAAGCCTAAGTTTACCATCATTCCAAAAGAGCATATGTGACAATTTGTTTTGTTAAGTCAACGGTTGATAAGGCTGACATGTATGAGTAATGCATATCTCAAGAATACAAAGAGTAAATAAAATGAGAAATAAAAGACAAAAAGACTTACCCGAGAGTGGGTCTCTCCTTCGAGCTGCAGGCGCAAAACACAATCAATTTCAATCAGTATGTATCTAACGGTTATGCTAAGCTAACGATTTAACTTCCACAACCAAATAAAGTTTATTAAACCAGTGAGAAGAAAACAATTGTACCAATGATGCACAAAATCTGAAAAGGAAAAAAAAACCGAAGAGCCTTTTTGGATAAAGTAAAGGGTCTCAGTGAAACTGAATTATATGTTGGCCAAGAAATGTGAAAGATGAAGAGGAGGAGAGATACCCGACCTCCACACCAACACACACCCCACCGCCCCCCCCCCCAAAAAAAAAAAGCTTCATGCTTTAACTATAACTTACATCCAAATTCAATACACCACATGAAACTGGAATGAAAAAGAAACAGAAAAACAAGAATAGACCTTCATAATTGTCCTGTCTTCAGCTAGAATTAAATTTCAAAAAACGAAAAAATGTCCATTTTTGTTTAAATCCAGAAAGGTCCAAATAATAAAGTAAACCTAAGAGAAATAGATAGCAAATAAGCGGAAAGATAGAACAATAAAAGATCAAGGAAGGGTAAGAACCCAACATAAGCAAAACCCACCAAGAGAATGCAACCTAAACGAAGGATTCAATTAAAGAAACGATATTTTCGTAAAAACACTTGAAAGAATCCACCTTTATGGTAAACAACCAGATCTGTGACCCATAACGTATAACCTTTTTGATAAAGAGTATAATCTAAAACATAGAGATCACACAGCAAGGGAGGAAACAAAGATCGAGAAAGAGAGAGACAAAAAGTTACCTCATAAACCAAGACGAAGAGGGATCGGAGGGCGGTGAGGCAGACTCTGAGGTTCGAGAGCTGTTTTTGATGAGAGAGAGAGAGAGAGAGAGAGAAATAGAGAGACGAGGGAAAGGGTATAGAGGAGGAGAGGTGTGGTGGTTTGGACACTGATATTTATTAGAGAGAGAAAGAGAAGTAAAAGTAAATAAACAAAACGCAGACGCAAATTACACCCACTTCTTCAACTACAAGACCGCCAGGTTACAACGTAGAACCCTATTTTTGTGGTTGAATGGATTTCTCATTTTACCTCTGTAATTTCTTTTTTGTTCTTTTTTGTTCGTTTTCAATATTTTTCACTTTCTTTTTTTCTTTTTTCTTTTTGCGTAACGGACTGAGACGATAGCTTCTTTTCTTTTTATTATTGGGTTACAAATTTTTTCCTTTTTAAGTAAGTTATTTACATATTTTTCATACAAATTTACCGACCCCTTTCATCATTAAACAATAGGCAAATGCACAAACTTACAACACAATTTTGTGTATGTTTCATTTCATAGTTGTTTT